CAGGAGATTAGAATCTCTTCAGTTAAGGGCGGATTCCAAGCTGGCTGGCCATAGCCTGTGTACTGGGCACTAGTAAATAAAGGTGATGATTTGGGACCTGGCCTCTGTGCAGTTATTTCAACATATATGTGACTCCAGTCCAACACCTACACGATTGCTTTCTGACCAAATAACTCAGTTGTATTAAACTGTCACAAAGAGCTTCAGGCAAGCATGGATGGTGAATAAACGCCAGCATTGCCAATGAGAAGGAACAAAGCAATGAAAGCACTAAGTAGAACTTGCACAAATTTATTTCGGCACTTATCATGTCAATTTTTTTTCCCTATTTTCTGAGTCGAGTGGCTCAGTGGTTAGCCCAGTGACAGGGACCTGGGTTCGATTCCACATTCGGGCGACTGTGTGGAGTTTGCACGTTCTCCCCGTGTCTGCGTGGGTTTCCTCCGGGTGCTCCAGTTTCCTCCCACAGTCCAAAGATGTGCAGGTTAGGTGGATTGGCCATGCTAAATTGCCCAGAGTATCCAGGGATGTGCAGGCTGGGTGGATTAGCCATGGGAAATATAGGGTAAGGGGGTGGATCTGAGTGGGATGCTCTTTGGAGGTTTGGTGTGGACTTGATGGGCCAAATTGGCCTGCTTCTGCACTGTAGGGATTCTATGATTTTAAGCCTCCTGCTAAGTGAGGCTGATTTTTGCATCTCTGGCATCCACTGGGTAAATTCAATATTTAAATGTTGTGGCAGTGATGAAAAGTACATCTGATGGTTGTTTTGATTCCTTGACAGCCAATGTAAATTCTGGTACCTCATAACATGGAGCATTGCCCCTAAATATTCTTTTTCAAGTAACATAACTTTCACCCTTTAATATGATGTTTGTTTGTCAATCCAAACCAAGCTGTAACAAAGCAAAAGTGCACTTTCATAAAGGTTGACAAATGGGATGTTTTGACGTGGGTTTTCTTTGGAATGTGGTCATTGTTATTTCCATAGAAAATATCCTGTGCCTGTTACACAAGCTTATCTGATCAGATTGTGAACTTGTCAGAACAATCATTAATAATATTTGCATGGTCTGGAAACTGCATAAAAATCATTCAGTCATGTTGTCAACCAGCATACTGCCTCATGAGATAATCTGCCCAATAATTTTCTTTTAATTATCATTTATTCACAGGATGAGGGCATCACTGGCTAGGCAGCATTTATTGCCCATCCCTAATTGCCCAGAGGGCAGCTCAGAGTCAACCACATTGCTGTTGGTCTGGAGTCACATGTAGGCCAGACCAGGTAAGGATAGCACGTTCCTTCCCTGAAGGACATTAGTGAACCAGATGGGTTTTTCCCCCCTGACAATTCGCAATGGATTCACAGTCATCGTTAGACGACTAATTCCAGATATTTATTGAGTACAAATTCCACCATCTGCCATGGCAGGATTTGAATCTGTGTCCCCAGAACATTATCTGGGTCTCTGGATTAACAGTCCAGCGATAATACCACTAGCCCATCACCTCCCCCTGAGTGGGATGGAAATATATGTGTCTCTTCTGACAATATTATTCACATGTCACCTTCGTGACACCCTTGCACAGAAAAAAATGCAACTCTTCTTTCAAGACAGTAATTAACAATGGATTTGAAAGATGATTTGTTTCCTTATGGTCCAGCAGAAACGAATTCCTATTATTTGATTCTTAGGATGATAGAAACTTACTGCACAGAAGGAGGCCATTGTGCCCCACAGTGCCAGTGCTGTCTCGCTGAAAGAGTAATCATGCTTATTCCCATGCACCCACTTTATGCCTGCAATACTGTAAATTCCTTGTCCTCCAGTGCCTGTCCCACTCTTTTAAAATGACTTCTGGAACCAGTTGCTACCACCCTTTTTGCTTAGAGCACTGCAGGTGCTTCAAGTGAGGACATTTTCTACTCAGGTTGTCTCTAAATCTTTTGCCCTCGATTTTAAATCTATTACCTTTGGTTACTCAGGGAGGTTTTTTTTCCCCAACTCAAAACCTCATTTGCATAAAACCTCTATATGCTCATCTCCTCACCTTCCCTGTTCCAATCAGAATCATCTTAATTTTTGAAAACTCTCCCAATGACTGAAGTCCCTCATTTTATGTATATTTAAACACCACGATTTCTCTGCTATACACACGTGGTCCTAAAGTCTACAACTTTGTGCATTTATGTTTACCATTGCCAAGTTTCATACAATGTGCCAACGTTATAATGCTACACCCTACTCCTCAAGGCTCAGCCATCTATGGAAACAGAGAAGCTCAGAAGCTCAGAGAAGCATTATAAACACAAAGCTGACTTCTAGGAATAACTTCCCCAAACCACCTCGCAACCTGTGACATATATGAACCATCAGCTTATGAGTCACAATGAGCCAATTTCATATCTAAAACACCACTCTCACCCTTTCTCTACACTGCTATCATTTTGATAATCCTCCCACATTGCCCTTTGTTCAAATGCCTCTCAAAAATCCACACTACAACAGCTTGATCAACCTTCACTATTGCCACATCAAAAAAATTCAATCAAGTTAGAATCATAGAAACCCTACAGTGTGGAAGGACCCATTGAGTCTGCACCAACCCTCCAAAGAGCATCCCACCCAGACCCACTCCTCTATCCCTACATTTCCCATGGTGACCCTGCATTTCCCTGGACATGACAGACAATTTAGCATTGACCTAACCTGCACAGGTTTGGATTATGGGATGAAACCCACACAGACTTGGGGAGAACATGAAAACTCCTCACAGACAGCTATGCGAGGATGGAATTGAACCTGGTGCTGTGAGGCAGCAGTGCTAACCACTGAGCCACCATGCCACCCAATTAGGCATGCTTTGCTTTGACAAACCAAATGCCAGTTCTCCTTGATTAATCCATTTCTTTCCAAATAAATTTCACTTTGTTTTTGATAATGTTTCCAGTAACTTGCCTATTACCAATGTTACGTTAATCACCGTGTATTTTCCTAATTTATCCCAGTCCCCTTTTTTGAACAGTGGTAAAGTATTTGGAGAATTGAAAGTTGTGTCAGACAACAAAGGTGAAATTTCATAATTCTCAACAAAGGTACATTCCAATGGGAAAGAAAGACTCAACAGGAAGGATGGTGGCTAAATAAGGAAGTTACGGTATAAAATTGAAAGAGAAGGCACACACTGCTTCCAAGTTGTGTGGTAGACCAGAAGCTTGCGAAAATTTTAGAAACCAGCAAATGATAACAAAAAAGTGAGATTACAGCACGTGAGTAAACTAACAAGACACATGAAAATAGAGAATAAGATCTTTAAGTATATGACGAAGAAGAGAATAGCTCTTTGGTCCCTTATTGGGTGAGACTGGGCAATTAATAAATGGGAAACAACGAAATGGCAAAGACTTTGAACAGGCATTTTGTATCTATCTTCAAAATAGAAGACACAACAAGAATCCCTGGAATAGCAGACAATCAAGAGGGAAAAGGAAGGGGAGAAATAAAACAGTCACAATCACTACAGAAGATTGCTAGAATTCTTAAAATGAAGGCTGACAAATCCCCTGGACTTGATAGCCTGCATCACAGATTCTTAAATAAGTGACTGAACGGATAATGGAAACAGCAGCTGCAATCTAAAAAAGCCAGCATTCTGGAGAAGTCCCGGTGGAAATCAAACTCTTCTGAGGGAAACTGAAAGCCGGAAATGTAGGCTAGTTAGCTGAACATCTGTCACTGGGAAAACGCTGGAATCTGTTATTAAGATGTAGCAGGATATTTAAAGATTCACCATACAATTAAGCAGGGTCAACATGGTTTTCTGAAAGGGAATCGTGTTTGACAACTTCTTCATAGGTAGTGTATTTATTAACTGTGGAATATGCTGAGAATCCTTTCTTACTTAGTCTCCAGTGTCTACCAACGTTCTAATTTCAGTCTCTGTGTTTGTTGCAAGTTGTTTGTTTAGTTTGTTTTGGTCACAAGGAGGTGGTTGGACACATCCCTCTGTACCTGAGCTTATAAAGAAAACTGGACAATAAAATAAAGTTTTGGGTTTGGATTCTGTAACATGCTCACAATCACAGACTCTAGTCTGGACTATACCCCAGAGAAAATTTTGAGAAAGGTGCCCACTGTCGCTGGCAAACTGGATTTTCCAAATGGTCTGAATTTTTCTGAGAATGAACGCCATGGAATACACATATTCCATGTGTGACGTCTCCATGGAGACAGGCGAAAATGATGGGCTGCTGGCCCTTGATTGGCAGGCAGTTCCCAGAGAGTTGGATCTCCAGCACTGCAAACCTCAATAATGAGGAAAGTCATAGAATCCCTGCAGGGCATAAGGAAGCCATTCGGCTCATTGAGACCCATCCCCTCAACTTCATGTTTTCCATGGCTAACCCATCCTAGTTTGCATGTCCCTGGACACTATGGGGCAATTTAGAATGGCCAATCCATGTAACCTGCCTATCTTTGGACTGTGGGAAGAGACTAGAGCACCCAGAGGAAACCCACACAGACATGGTGAGAATGTACAAACTCGACACGGACCGTTACCCAAGGCTGGAATCGGACCCAGGTTCCTGGTGCAGTGAGGCTGCAGTGCTAACCACTGTGCTGCCCTCAACAATGTCCAACAGTAATCGCTTAAGTGTCTGAAAAGCACTTGATCCCATGATGCCCTTCCCGTGAATCTGATAGGGCATCCTACCATTCTCCAACTAGTGGGTATGACTTTTGTTGGACCACTTAGCTCTTACCTGATGAGAGAGTTTGTATTTAATCACAACCCCCGATCAAACATTACATCCTATCAACAAGCATCTCCAATGACAACATTCTTGGTAGCCAAAGAAAAATAAACGTTTTCCTCAAGGGTATTGTCCATGTGTTCGGTTTTGCTTTGTGTCTTGTTTCCAGCTCACAGGAAGATTATGTCCCGTGTTAAAAACAGCCTACAGAACAGGTACATCTTACGGTAATAGCTCTTACCTGCACTGACCGTGATGGCCTCCATGAACTGATCCCGCCAGGAATGTGTCCCTACCACGAGCGCTAGGTTCGTCTTCTTTATAAGCTTGTCCACTGTGCTCTGCCAGTGAAAAGGACACAGAATAAATCAAAGAACAAAAAATGGACACATAACCTCACACCAGTTGAGGTTACCACAAAGGACTCTCCTTCTCAACCTCTCCCCTTGCCTGAGGCACGGTGGCCCTCATGTTAAACCACCACCAGCTGTCTCTCTCTGATGAGGGAGTGAGACTGTGGTGACCTTTCCTTTATGCTATAATAGTGCAATTTATATCTTTTATGCGTGCAAACATGATGGACAGGAGAAGACCAATAAGTCTATGCTGTTTGTCGCACCCAGCCATATTGCCTTACAAATCAGAGTGCATGCACTCCTACCCCACTTTATGTCATGTTAGAAAGTCGGATAAGAACCTGGGCTAGTTAGGAAAAGAAATGGAAAATTCTTCTTCAATCCCCCTTATTGATTGAAACTAATATAAGAGATCAGTCTTTCTCTGAGATAACACAGTGTGGAGCTGGAGGAGAACAGCAGGCCAGGCAGCATCAGAGGAGCAGGAAAGTTGACGTTTTGGGTCGGGACCCTTCTTCAGAAAGGGTCTGATTTCTGGAAAATTTCTGGGAAAATTTCTGAAGAAGGGTCCCGACCCGAAACATCAACTTTCCTGCTCCTCTGACACTGCCTGACCTGCTGTACTCCTCCAGCCCCACAGTGTTATCTCTGACTCCAGCATCGGCAGTTCTTACTATCTCTGAGTGAGTCTTTCTCTGATATATGTTACAGGATACCTACCATTTGTACAAGGTGATCTCCACTTCAGCTAGACAAAGGTACAAGTTTCACTTGAAAGAATACAGTGAAATAGCACATAAACTGCATGACCTGACAATCTGTTTCATGGGTCTACATTTCGTAAGCAAAAGAAACGCAGAGCATCATTCTAGGTCCACCATTGCATAATGCTTAAACAGGACTCAATGTCTTCCCTACCCTATTTGGTTGAAATAATCAGTCTATCACAGTTTCATGATCTTATAAACCTGGATCAAACCACCCCAAATATTTCGCGAAAGTTTTGAGGCTAGGCTTCGCACACCTATCAAAGGTGACTAAGGTGTTACTAATTGGGAATTATGTTGTCAAACTCCACTACACCTTTGCTAAAGTCTCAATCCCCATTACTAAATGATGAGACCAAATTGGACCAAAACCTGTGAGGCAAAAATGATTTTTTTTTTTGTAGTGAATCTTCCTACAAATACATGCTGGATTATTGATTGCTTTAGCTATTGGTTCACAGCATTAACATTAGTCCATAGAGATTCACATTCTAATTAATCATTTTTCATCACTGGCTGTCATTCTTTTCCCTGTGTAATGCATGTAGGTTTAGCATTCGACATTCCCACATGCCTCACCTGAAACTTTCTACACGAACCATCATTTGTCAAACAAGGGTCCAGTTGCTCTGGATCTGCATGTGGTAACTGAGTACCCTGCACTGTCCTGTCACAGATATCTTGGTGTCAGTGCAAAAGTGCCTAACACCCCTCCCACAAATATCTTGATCATTTACAAAACAGTACAGAGCAAAGGTTCCAACACTAACCTCTGAAGAAAGCCATTGGTAATTGGCTCTGTAGTGAAGGGGCAGCAAAGGTAAAGCTGCCATAGTCCTATCAGACTGTAGGGATGCTCTCTTTATTAAACAGAGAAAACTGGTGGTGGTTTAACCTGAGTATCACCACACCTCAGGTGAGGGGAGAGGTTGAGAAGGAGAGTCCTTCATGGTAAGCTCAGCCAATACAGGAATTGAACCCACACTGTTAGCATCACTCATCAGCAGCCAAGTCAACTGAGCTAACTGAGCTCTAAATACGTAGCATCATGCTTGTGAACCAGAAACTTTGGGTTCATGTCTCACTCGAAGACTTGATGGCTAAATGGATTGAGTATCGATGTGCGAAAAAGCAAAAAAGCAATGGCTGGCAGTAAGACTGGGAGAGAATCCTGGTCAGCCAAATGATGGAAAGAAAAATGCAGCTTTCATAGTTTTGGATGACAACACAAATGTAAAATTGAGTGCTGCCCCAACAACTCAAGACTCCTAGTGGGGGTGGGATTGCTCAGTTAGCTGGATGGTGAGTGTGCATTAGATTGGTGCCAAAGATACAAGGTTTGATCCACTTTCCAGATGAGGTGAAATCAGAACCTGTTCTATAGGTGAAGGAGATCGTGACACTGTGGGTCAGACTGGCCTTTGGGCAGAAAACTAAAGAAGGACCGGGCTCTAAAGCAGACCCAGATCCACTAACAACATGGCACAATGGCTCAATGGTTAGCATTACTACTTCACAGTACCAGGAAGCCGGGTTCAACTCCAACCTTGGGCAACTGTCTGTGTGAAGTTTGCACGTTCTCCCTCTGTCTGTGGGTGTTCCCTCCGGGTGCTCTGGTTTCCTCCCACAGTCCAAAGATGAGCAGGTTAGGTAGATTTGTCATACTAAATTGCCCATAGTGTCCAGGGATGTACAGGTTAGGTGAATTAGCCATGGGAAATGTAGGGTTACAGGAATAGGGTAGAGGCGGATGGGTCTGGGTTGGCTCCTTTTCAGAGGGTCAGTGTGGTGTCAATGGCTGAATGGTCTGCTTTCACGCTGTAGGGATTCTATGAACTATTTACTACACAGGAGCATTCAGTCAATTATCAATCCATTGTAACTGATTGCCACTAATTCCACATGATTCTATATTGCAGCGAGGTACCTTGCCAAAATCTTCTCAAGTCCAAACAGACAATGCCAATTGGGCTGACTTCATCTACTAACATGATGACTTCTTTAAAAAATAGCAGGCTAGTACAGTATAACCTTCTTTTCTAGAAACCTTGTTGGGTGTCTAGTATAACTTTTCTGTCTAAGTAGTAAATTATTCTATCGCTAATGACTACCTCAAGCATTACTGATGTCATGCTACTAAGCCTATAATTACCTGGTTCTGCTTTATCCATTTTTGAAACAAAACTGAATCTACACTGGCATGATTCCAGTCTTAGCGACCTTGCATAAGCAAATTATTCTTTCAAAACTATATACTTAAATTATTTTCAATGTCAACAGCATAATTTAATACAGTCAGTTATTCATCGTTGTGCATAGTGAAGCAAAATATGTATTTAGTAAATCTGATACTCTGAGACCTCTTTCTTATTTATTCTTATCTCCCAAAGTCTTAATACAGTCTATAATGTCAGTCCTATTGCTAAGATAGCTCTTCCCATTACTAACATGGGGGTCCATGTTCCACTTTTCCATTAAAACACTAGCGTTACTGATAGTAGATTTGGTTATTTTGACTGCTTTTCCATGCACCAACAGTTTTAATTAAAAATAAATTTTGATTATGTCTTACATATCTTTGTACATGACAGGTTTGCCAATTTGATGTCTTATTTCCATATCGCCTACTTTCAGGGGCATATCTGGCTTCCATCAGTTCAACTTTGCTCTTAAGATTTTACATCTACATTTCATATTGAACCGGAATTAATTTGTTCCAAATGTTCTGCCATTCAATTAAAGTTAGTCCTTTCTGAATCTGGGCTTAATTGTAGACTTTCAATACATTTAGTTCAGGTCACTAATTGAAACCTCATATTAGGTCATGTGAACTCATATTTGGGGGTATGATATCAAGTTATGTCTAATACTAAATGCTGGGTCTAGTCTATATTTGCCATTGACTTACTGAAACAGTGCTACTTATTGTAACAAATCTTACAGTTGCACTTCGAGCATATCACTAATGATACATCCTCATTAACATTTCAAAGATCTTTATAACACAGAACCATATTGGTGTAATTTATTTTGTTTCTTGAGGCAAATGCATCAGCACAAGGAAGAAGGTAAAGCTTTCAGGAGAACTTTGAGATCCAACTCTTGAAAGCTGAATACATTGCATGGTGGCTCAGTGGTTAACACTGCTTCCTCACAATGCCAGGAACTCAGGCTCAATTCTGCCCTCGGGTGACTGTCTGTGTTTACACATTCTTCCCATGTCTGTGGGGGTTCCCTCTGGTTTCCTCCCACAGTCCAAAGCTGTGCAATTTAGGTGGATTGGCCATACCAAATTGTCCATGGATGTGTAGGTTAGATGTGTTAGCCATGGGAAGTATAGGGTAGGGTGACGGGTCTGTATGTGATGGTCTTCAGAGGGTTGGTGTGGACTTGTTGGGCTGCATGGCTTATTTCCACACTGTATGGATCACATTTATGCACTAAGAACCATTCACACCTAGAAAGCCCCACATTTAATTGCTTGGGCTGTGGTAGTTTGTCAGTCTAACTTTTTTTTAATTCATTCACAAGGCAAGGGCAATGCTGGCTAAGCCAGCAATTATTGCCATTCCTAACTGCCCAGAGGGCATTTGAAAGTCAACCATATTACTGTGGGTCTGGAGTCAATTGTAGGCCAGACCAGGTAAGGATGGCAGATTTCCTCCCTTGAAGGACATTCGTGAACCGGATGGGTTTTTCCGACAATCGACAATGGATTCATGGTCATCAGTGGAGTCTTAATTCCAGATTTTCTTTTATTGAATTCAAACTCCACCATCTGCTAAGGCAGGATTCGAACCTTTGTCTGCAGAACATTAACTGAGTTTCTGGAATAATAGTCTAGCAATAATACTATCAGGTTATCGCCTTCCCCCCAACATTACATGGATCAACAATAGCGGGTGCTACAATTAATCTCAGCATCTTTCATCGAGGAAAGGGAGAATAAAATGACAAATGCTTCTATTCTTAATTTCAAGCATTCTGCATGCCAAAAAGAAAGATTGTTCAGATCTCCACGGTCAGATGCCTTGCCAATTCAGAGGAGTCAAAACGCTGAGGACCAAGGAGCTTGAATGCGCTGCTATGTATGCTAAAGTTTGTGTGAAAGTTAAAAGTGTCACTCATGAGGAGAAGTGCCAGAAATAGTGTCAATGGGACATAATTAGAGAATTTCCTGTGCTTTTCCAGGAATCTCACCACTTCCATCTCAATCAG